TTGGTGTTCCTTTGCTTCTTGATGCATCGTCTGAAAAAAGCGTGCAGAATCGACCAGTGCCACGACCATCTGTTTCCTCTGGTTGACAAATAGAATAACGAGTATTCACAAAAAGTTATCTCTGAATAATTGTTTTGATATCATTATCGATTAGCGTTTGAATTCTACTCCAATATTACTTATAAAATGCTAATGTTCTTTTCTGATTTGGGTATTGGTATATTTTTGAATTGTAATTTCATCATTTTGAATATTCGATTTAAAATAAACTTAATATTGATCTTCAGTTTGCGATCACCATTAATCTGAGGTAACACACTCTCGATCTTTGAAAAAACCTGTAATATCTTATTTTCATTATTCGCTGATATTTGTATATTGTATTTGTTTTCCTTATGTCAAAGATTGCATTCTGAATGTAATGCTTTCCATGATAAATTGATTTTCTCATAATTTTAGATTTGTTTTCAATGTAATCGATGTACTCATTTGCTATCCCATATCCATACGCGTGAATTTTAAAAGAACACTAGAGAAGTGCGGAGAAGTACGAGCCGAAGGCGAATGCTTCTGGCACTTCTCGAGTGTTCCTAAAAATACCCAAGTGCTTATAGAACTCCACAATGCTCGAGGAACAAGTGTTTCTATTTCTTTCATAAAGTGTACCGTGAATTGCGCGCGCTTGGACCGGTGACGTAGGCTTACGTGCATTATATCTCAACACTGAACTCATGTGACGTAAGGCGCGTGCTTTATGGAAATATGATGAGCTCGTTTTGACCAATCACGGCGCGCGCATTTCGCTGAACACTTTATAAACCATTATATGAGATTCTTTTAGATCCACAATTCCTAAACATTGTCATACACACCATCAATTCTCACGCGTGGGAAACCACAATATCAATTCTGACACGTGGGAAACCTCTTAACCAGTTCCGATGCGTGGGAGACCACTATACCAATTCCGAGGCGTGGGGAACCACTATATCAATTCCGAGGCGTGGGAAACCACTTTTTTTGTGTCTGAGCGTTTAGTCAAAAACTGATAATTTCTTCCTGTTTTTCCGAGAATGTCACACAATACCAGGAAAGCACTGAAACATAAAGTCATGCAATGAGAAAATGATTTGAGATCATATCGCTAATCTCCTATAGTATAGAAAAATATATATTATTCAAAAAACTACTCTAACATCCCAATGATTTCATGAAATGATCTCGTCAAATAATTTCCAAAATATGTAAAGTAGTATAGAGAGTTGGCGTTTTTGTACGCGGTCACTTTGTGATATCGTACCGCCAACTCCTATAATACTTAATTACTCACGTTTCGACGTCTCAATCAGAATGCAGCAGAGCACAGGTGGATAGGTAAAAGGAAAAACACAGCTGGGTCAGAGATGATTTCATCCAACCTGAACTGAATCATTACCAGTGTAATTGTTTTTAGAGTACATTAGGTATATCATACATTTGCGGCCGTCAACCTTTACCGACGAGTAACCAGGAAGATGCCTAATTACTTAAAACTCATTATCCAAGCAAGAGTGACGTTAAGTATTCTCTTCCTGCTCTCCGTGCTCCTTATCCAAGGATCTGACGGCAAAGGATTATCATGTCCAATAGGAAGTGTGGTATGTATCGTGGAAATGTACGGCT